TAAATATTTGGAGATGATGAGCCTATAGCATAAATGAGTGGTAATATCCCAGTTACCCTTGAGAGAGTTCACTGTGGTCTTACAGTAGTCTTTTATTATAAAATCATGCTCAACCTCAAGATGCCTTAGCTGTTCCACATCCTCCCTATGCTGCCCATCCTTAATTAACCCCCTGCTTGGAGCCCTTACTTGGCATCAATTTACTGGATAAATTACTTCCTTCCACCAAGTTCCATTTGGCACCAGTGTGTTAATAGTTAAGATATTTCCTTATATTTCCTTGTCCATCTGAGATGGGTCTTCTGTCTAAGCTTATGTTAGCTTCTGTTTATGTTCCCTTTGTCTCAGAAGTTATCTGTTTATCAAACTCCATCAACCTTTGTCCCACCCCCAATCTCATCAGATTGGAATAGAAATGGTCACTGATTTAGGTCTGTTGTCTGTCTTTCACAGCCTAAGTGGCCAGGCCACATAGAATCCAGGCGTGAAGATTGGCATTGGGCTCAAAGAGTCTATATCGGGAGCCACAAATAAGAATGGCTTTAGACAGATAAGAATGGCTTTAGATACCTCCCAGTGTGGCCTACTTAAATAGCTCTGCTGTAAATGGGCCATGTCTTTGTTATCCTTCAGGTTCCTGGGTTGGTGAGAGAGTCCTCAGCTTCACAGGAGAGCAAGCTCTGGTACAGATATTTACATTACTTCTGCAGCCCCTTGGCTAGTCAGACTGTATGAGTAAAGTTGAAGCTTGGTTTAGAGCCTATGAACAATGCTGTTGGTGATTTCTGTGTTATTTAGTTTTTGTTTCTTTGACTCCTCTGGGTCAACTGATCAGGTGTAGCCTAGTCTAGAGATGCTGAGAAACTGTGATATGTTAAGTTCATTTCTGTCCACCCTGTTACCATGACATAACTCTCTGAACCTCTGAGAACTCCTAAACTATCTTCTCTACCGTGCAATAACCAATCCTGCCTGTCTTGAGGGAGCAGAAGCTGAGAGGTACAAATCCTCACCCATCAGCTTCATCTCTGTGAGCCCTGGAGTCTCCCACCTGGACTGCATCCTGGGTCAGTTCCTTTTATTTCCTGTGGACATCAGAGATGCATCTCAAAGGAACAGCTTTAGAGGGGCTGTCTAAAGAGATGCTGGTGGTAAGAACATGAAGTTGAGGATTAGATGAAATTGTATGGACCACATACTACTATGTACTGATGTAAAGATATCTCCCAGTCCTACCATTTTAAATCCTGACACTGCTCCTTGAAGGGGCACATCCTTGTATTATCTCTCTCAATAAATCTTGGAGACAACCTTATGAATCAAGCGCTCTTTACAGTGCCTGTAACACTCTGAATGGTTGCGCCTCAGATGAAGCCTGGTGAGAGCCATCTGAGACTATTTAATTAACTTGTGTCTGACATCACAGTATGAATCTCACCCAACAGGTCTGTAGGTGTTGTGGAAGCCAGCAGAGATCATTCTGGACAGGGATCTTTTGACCTTTGTCAGACATACCCCATGAATATTCACTGCCTCCAAGGACCCAGTACTCTGTTCTCAATTATAAAATATTTCCAATCATATTTTGAATAGATAGGAGAAGAAATATTGTGGGTTTTTTTTTCTTTCTGAAACAATATCCTCCCCAAAACTACTGCTGGAGGGATTTCCAAGTGCTTTCCCCTTTGCCTTCCTTTTCTCATGCTCCTGTAGGGCATCAGAGGCTTCCTCAAACATAGGACACCAAAGCTCATCTTCCAGTGATGATACAGGGCTGAAGAGGCAGCATCTCGCCATCCATCAATTCTGATGACATTCAAATATTTTCAATATGTGGGCTCCCTGATAACTTCCATTGTATGGAAAACAAAATGGAGGGAAATGATTATTGGCACAAAACGGGGAGGCTGTAAATCTTCAAATCAGATACAGGGCAGATTGGAACAATATGGCTTCTTCAAGGTTGCCATGATAATGTACCTAATAACTCTCCCTGGGCAAAAAGGCAATCTGCTTTCAATCAATCTCCTTCCCCCTGACAACCCTCCCCCTTTTTTTTCTGAGCAAAAATACCAATTACGTTGAAGGAAGATTTTTTTTCTTCCTTTTTTGATAAGGACTGTTCTCCACCCCAGAAATCATGCTGTAGCTAAAAGATATATATTTTCAATTGTCTAGCATGATATTGGACAGCAGCACCAAATGAAAAAAAAAAGTCGATCTTTTTCCCCCTTCCTCTCTCCTGCCAGCATTTGTCTACTTCTGAAGAGAAGTGAAAGCTAATTAAAGGCTTAAGGGATAATATTGATTGCATTGGAATATATTTTATATGTACCCGCCACACTTTCAAATAATAGAACACTGGCTTTTTCTAAGGCTGAATAAATCAGCTGGCTGAACCTTTCATTTAAGCGTGATGTGTTGGGGTGGGAAAGTACTCATCTCCCCACTTCCACTGGCACATATCTCTCCTAGCATGAGTGATTTCAGAGCAGCAATGGCGGGGCTGTCAGATGTTCACTCCATTCTGTGTGTACAGAACAGGAAGGCTGAATGTTCAGCTGTCTCAAGCCACCATTCGAGTCTGGCTGTGAATCATAACCAGGGATATGCCAGTGTAGAACTCTGAAATTTGCAATATCTGATGCAGAGGCTGGTGGGGTGGGACTTACTTCTCAGCTTCTTGTATGGACTGGAATATATAGCTTGTCGGAGATATCCTCTCCTTGGCATCAAAACAGGTTACTGGGGTTCTTTTTGCACTTTATGTATTTATTTATTTATTTATTTTGCATACAGTGTTCTGTCTGCATGTACACCTGCAGGCCAGAAGAAGGTGCCAGATCTCATGACAGATGGTTGTGAGCCACCATGTGGTTGCTGGGAATTGAACTCAGGATGTCTGGAAGAGCAGCCAGTGCTCCAACTGTGAGCCATCTCTCCAGCCCCTGTTTCTGGGGTTCTTGCTTACTGGCTTGCTCTTTCATCCAAGACATAGCTTCAACTATAGAGATACCTACTAGTTGGATTTCTGTTGGTGCTTTCTTCATTCTAATGTCTTCATGCAGGATATTAGAGTGCACAGAACACACCAGGTAACACCCTGTCATTTGTGTACAGTTCAAGTCAGGAGGGAATTCCTCTTTCTTAGTCACATTCTAGACATGCTTGCCAATTCAGAATCATAAAACTCATTCAGAATATGCATACCTACTTATGATTTGTCTATAAATATGCTTATATCACAAGAAACATTTTAAAATAAAAAAATTGTAAAATTCCAAATAGTCGGTTAGTTTCGTAAATTCAGATATACCGTGTGCTTTACAGTCTTATAGTCAGAAGGGGTCAGTGATACAGGGCTTTGGGCATAAAATATGGGTGAGTAGCTAAGTGACACCCACAACCTAGTAGATGCTGTTGAGAGGGCCATTTGTTACAATGTCTCTCCTGATGTTACACCCCCCACCCCCTTTTGCCTTGATGACCATGGCTTGCCTGATCAGGCTAAGTGCACCACCATAACAATAACAGTCCATAATGGAAATATTATTAACTGCATCATGCATATTATTGATTTACTCTTTGTTCTGCACCATTATCATTTCCCCAGTGAGTTTACTGCATTATTCTCACATACTTAGTCGAGCACCAAATTGCCACGAAAGGGCAGACTCTTGTAATGACGTCTAATGGGACATTGCATAAACCATCATCACCACCTCCTATTATAAGTTGCCTCCAGCCAATGAGCTTTCTGCCACGTTACAATGTGAACAGAGCAATTATAAAGGGTAAAGGACTCGGGCATTCTGAAGTTTCCTGGGGAAATCGCCTTATTGCATGTTCACCACCTGGCCCAGTCTTAAAGCACGTTAGAGATCTACCCTCTACTGTTGTCGGCCTGAAGGGTAGAGTGGTGTGAGCTGAGTTACTTACTACAGTGTGTTTGCTAGAAGCTGGTGCTTGTAGCTTCATAGCCGAGCCACTTTTGGTCTTGGGGCAAATTCTCAGGTCATGGTCTTGTGACTGAGCACTATGAAGCCAATGTAAGTGAGCCCAGGATAGTCTGACATTAAGGCTGCATTGCTTCAGGAAGGAAAGTTGTTGGACAGGCCGCAGGTCTTCGTGTTCTGGAAAAGGCTCTCATTCCCTGGGGATGAGCTGCTGTTTCTAGAAACAGAGGTCAGAGCTGCCCTAGAACAAAGCCAGCATTTCCACACTCATGTCTCCCTGGCTTCTGCCCAGTGCAGGGGTCTCCAGGTGAATTAGTTTGGCTCTGGGGAAGTCTTTAGCACCCTGAGGTAGCGGCCTTCTGGGGAAGTAGCCACAGCAGGCAGCTTGATCGCCCATTCCAGGGGCGTCTCATCTCCATTTAGCCCTGAGTAATGCTCACTTACTGTAAAGTGTTACATGCCTCCATTGTTGGAGAAGTTATGGTAGAAAAATGCAAAATTTCCTTTTTACTGCTTATGGCCAGCCGAGCCTATAACATGTCAAGCCGCACATTAGCCACCCTGATAAAAGTCCGCTTTCTTACACACAAAATCATCATTTCAGCAAGATTTGTTATCTCATTACCTGATAAGCTGTATGTCATAAACCAGGACTGCTGCAGTAAATCTCCCAGGAGGACGCTTTGTGGGCAGAAAGGGAGCGATAGGAATCTGCAAGGGACTTGATAATGTAGCATTTAAGCACAAGCATAATGTCACTTATTGTTAAATGCGTAAAACCACTTGGCCAAGTCGCTGGGCTTTTAATAGGATTTTGTGCAGCCTCAGGTGAGCAGCCATATGCTTTTCCTGTCCAGGAGCCTCTAAGCAACTGCTAGCACCATCGCTTTGCCTCACGCCCCTCTGGTGTGGGCACTGGGTTTACAGGGGCTGAGGGTGGAGATATCCTTTTGCAGCTGCCTCACCCTGTCTGCCTTGTCAGGGATCAGGAAGTGGGGCCGTGTCCCTGGGTCTGGCTGGAACTAACTGGCCTCTCCTATACAGGCACATTGTAGTCTGTGGCCACATCACTCTGGAGAGTGTCTCTAACTTCCTGAAGGACTTTCTGCACAAGGACCGGGATGATGTCAACGTGGAGATTGTCTTTCTTCACAAGTAAGAACCCACTGCTGTCCGTAGAGCCTCTGCCCAGCCAAGTGCTTCCCTCTGAGGACCCACAGGTGTGGTAGACATGGTGGTGGTTGAGAATTGAGATGAGGTTGAATAAGCCATGACCCCTGCTGACTCCTTAGGTAAGAGGTAGTTTTCCATAAGAATGTGGACTTTGATTTAGAACCCTTGGAGGTGAAGCAACACCCTAGGCCAGGGTTGAAAACAGTGAGATAGTCTGGGACCATATCTGAGTTTCTGTCTGAAAGACTGAACAGGGAAGTTCACTAGGATCCAAGTCACCATTCTCGTCCCTTTATCAGTGTGGCCCTGTGCAGTCAGGGCCATCTGCAGCGCGGGAGTGGGATAACAGATGCGATTGTGTGGATACTTTACCGCTGCAGCAGAGGGACCAAGCTAGACAAGAGAAGAAGCAGGGTGACAGAGTTACATTTCACTGGGACAAAAACACCTGACAAAATAACTCAAAGAAAGCAAGGTTTCCACGGGAAGCATGGCAGTGAGAGCATGAGGCAGCCAGTCACACTGCATCCGCATGCAGATGAGCCATGGATGCAGGGGGGGGCAGGGGGCGGGTGCTCGGTCTGTTTTCTCCTTTCGTGTTAGTACCAGCCTAAAAGATGGTGCCGCCATGTTCAGAATGAATCTTTCCACCTCACTTAACTCAATCCAGATAATCCTCCACATAAATGCTCTGAGGTTGGTCTCCTAGGTGACTCTCGATCCCATCCAGTTGATAGTTATTAACTATATCACACAGCGTATGAGGCATGTTAACACTGTTATTTCACCTGATACCAGAAGCTGTATAAAAGGATTTTCATTTAATCCATAGACATAGTGCCAAGTACATGTCTAATCTGAATCCTGACTTAACCAAGGACTGACTGGCTGAGCATGTTACTTCCCCGTGCCTCAGCTTCCATGTCTATGGACAAGCGAGGAGATACTCTTGTCTCCTTGGACTGTTGTAAGAATGAAATGAATCAATCCATGTGAAGTGTGCAGAGCCCAGTTAGGCATGCAGGAAGTATTCAATAAATGTCAGCTATTATTGTGAAAGGAAACCTGATTGAGTTATACGGTTGACTTACAGATATACACATCCTATATAGAAAAAGACTCTTGGTAAGACATTAGCTCACTCAATTCTGGAGACTGGGAAGTCCCATACTCTACCTTCTCCAAATTGAAAACCCCACTAGTGTTATGACTCAGTCTAAAGCTCAAAGGCCTGAAACAAGGGGAGCCAATGATGTGAAACCCTGGTCCACAGAGAAGGGTGGAAGGGATAAGATGTCATAGTGCATATAGGCATGCAGGAGACAAGGGGAAGCTATGGTCTTCCTCTGCCCTTTCCTTTTAGGTCTTTGTTTGGTTGGTATCCACTCACGTGGAGGAAGGTTCACTTTCCACAAATTCACAGATTCAAAGGTGAATCTTGTGGGGAAAGAACCCTCATAAACATACATGGAAATCACCTTTATCTGGGCCTTCCAAGTGGCCCAGTCAAGTTGACATAAGTAATGACCAATCACACTGATGTCATAGCTGTGATGTTTCTAATGGTAACAAAGAGGAAGATACTTTACCATATAGGCTCCAACTTCTGTAAGGTCAGAGACTTCTGGGTTTGTTTTCAGTGGAGTTTACTTCTCCTAAATATGAATCTTTTTTTTTAATTTTATTGAGAAAAAGAAAAAAAAGTTTCAGCCTCCTCCCAGCCTCCCATTTCCCTCCCCCACCTCCCACCCTTCTTTCCCTCCCCCCACTCCTCTCCCCCTCCCTCTCCAATCCAAAGAGCAGTCAGGGTTCCCTGCCCTGTGGAAAGTCCAAGGTCCTCCCCCCTCCGTCCATGTCTAGGAAGGTGAACATCCAAACTGGCTAGGCTCCCACAAAGCCAGAACATTAAGTAGGATCAAAACCCCGTGCCATTGTCCTTGGCTTCTCATCAGCCCTCATTGCTCGCCATGTTCAGAGAGTCCGGTTTTATCCCATGCTTTTTCAGTCATAGTCCAGCTGGCCTTGGTGAGCTCCCAATAGATCAGCCCCACTGTCTCAGTGGGTGGGTGCGCCCCTCGTGGTCCTGACTTCCTTGCTCATCTTCTCCCTCCTTCCGCTCCTCATTGGGACCTTGGGAGCTCAGTCCAGTGCTCCAGTGTGGGCCTCTGTCTACAATTGGTGAACCTAAATATGAATCTTTTATTTCTTGCAGGGAAGGGGGTTTCTCTGAAGGTTAGGGCTTTTGTTCAGGTCTTTATGTAGAAATTAAAAGCAAGGGAGCTCCAGAGTCTGGGATCTCCACTATGTTGTTTTAACAGTTGTTTCTTTTCTGTCTACGCAGCATCTCCCCTAACCTTGAGCTTGAGGCCCTGTTCAAACGACATTTTACTCAGGTGGAATTTTATCAGGGTTCTGTCCTCAATCCCCACGATCTTGCCAGAGTCAAGGTAAGGATAAATAAATGTCTTTACTCTTTCATGAAGGTTGGGGTCATGATTCCTGGAGTAGCCAAGAGCCATCTTCTAAACCATTAACAAGGTAACTCAGATGTTACTAACCCCAGTATACTCTTTCGTTGGCCCCAGGACCTTGCTCTGCTTGCTCACGCTAGACCATCTCTAAGTATTCCACACTTAGGTTCATCCTAATATAGAACTTACTTTCCTCTTTTCTTCTAAATCAACCACTCCCAAGGCTATCTCATCCCCATGGTTCACTGGGTAAAGGCACTCATTGCAAAGCCTGTTGACCTGAGTTTAAACTCCAGGACCTACTTGGTGGAAGGAGAGACCCAATTCCCACAAATTGTCCTCACATTTTAATGTGCACACACATGCGCGCGCGCCCACACACACACACACATGCACACACATACACACATGCACACACACACACATACACACATGCACACACATACACACATGCACACACACATGCACACACATACACATATGCACACACACACACATACAATTCCACAAAACTAGGAAAAGAAACAATGAAGCTACAACTACTGAAGCACAATGTAGGGCTAAGGTCACAAACAGCAAGGAGAATAACAAATTGATAGCAATAATGCACACCTTTCAATAATAACTTAAAATATAAAACATGGGCTCCACTTCCTCAGTCAAAGGACACAAATTATGTGAATGGATTAAGAAAGAAGCCATCTTTCTGTTGTGTACATGAAACTTGTCTGACCTTCAAAGATGACCACCTCTTTAAAGAGACAGGATAGAAAAGCCATCCTGAGCAGATGGGTGAAGAAAGCAAGCAGGCACCAATATCCTTCTATCCCACAAAATAGACTTGAAACTAAAATTAACCAGAAGAGACAAAGAGGGACACTTCGTGCTAATCAAGAGAACAATTAACCAAGAAACTCTTACAATACTAAACATGTATACCCCAAACTCTGGTCCACCCAATTTAACAGTGGGTGATTTCTATACTCCACTTTCTCTAATACTAAATAAATATAAAAAATTAACGTTGAATGACTAAAAGGCCATGCACAATGTAACAGCAAAGATGATTAATTTCCACCTAATTGAACTCAGCATAGCTTTCAAATCCATTAATTATATCTGAGAGAAATGTTAGAAAAGAAAATTACACAAAGCTATAAAACATTTGTGCTTCCCTTTTCCAAAAAAAAAAAAAAATAGACTCCACCATTTGGTAATAAGTTAACCATATTCTTCATGGCCCTTTTGAATTGGCATCTTCTTATAAAGTACAAACAAGACTTTAGAAAAGGAAGGGACACAATAAACTGACATTTGCTATTTAATTCATTTAACACAGTTTTAGTAAGTGTGTTCCACATTTGTGTGGCAGTGGCAGTTCACTAATACTGTGTGAACCTGCGGAAGCCTAAATGCTAACTGTGGTCACCAAGCAGTTCTGTAATTGCTGTAGTGGCAAACATAGAAAATCTAGAAGGATTTGTATGAATTCTTCATATTATTAAAGAAACCCAGAGATAGTGCGTGACATACTGGGGACAGAACTACAGCCCTCCTGCTGAACAGTTCTATGCTGAAACAGTCAAGTAAGTACAACATCCTGAGCAGGAGAATTGCAGACCCAGGTCAGCTTGTGAATTCTCATGTGTATGTAGGCTAGTTCCTCTTAATATTATCCAGACATGACCTAAGTCATAAGGACAGAGAAAATGGCTTTTGTTCATAGGCCTAGTTTAAATGCAAGCAATTATTAGCACATCAAACTCACGGTCTGTCTAAGGAATAACCCTCCTTTTGGCTCACATTAGGATAAGTCAGTAGGTTGCCTTTTGGATCCATCTGTAAAGTATCATTTCATTTATATAAATTATTTGTCTTTTGAATACCTGAGTAGTAATGAACAGTAAACAGCACAGAACCGTGGTTTATTCAAGGCTCCAGTTCCTTCTTGGGACACGTGTAATGAAAATGTACATAAGGTTTGATAAAGGATTTTTTTAAAAACATTTACTTATTTTAAATTTATATGTATGAGTGTTTTTCCGGCATGCATGTATGTGTACTTCTTGTTGCCTGAAGCCTACAGATGAGAAGAGGGAGTTAGATGCCCTGGAAGTTTTCAATGGTGTGAGCTACCATGTGGGTGCTGGGAATGGAACATCTATTTTCTGCAAGAGCAACAAGTGTTCTTAATCCCTGAGTTGTCTCTCCAGCCCCTGGATGTTCCAGTCTACTCTGCTGAATCTGCAACTGTTTTTGTCCACGTCCTAACCTGAGGGGAGGGGTTTAACCCACCAACTCTATTTCCTGGTTAATTAAGATGATGGCACACAGTTTAAACAGGAAGTGGGAATGAGATTGAACAGCTCCATTAGGTGAATTTAAGGACTTTGGCAAATACGCCTGTAAGCAGCTAGGGCAAATGAAGTGCGGAATTACTCAGGTTCACGCTGGAATGTTTGTTCTGTATCAAGGACTCAACCTGCAACCTACACTTTTGACAAAACTATAATTTTTTTCATGATTTTTTTCCCTTTCCTTGCAAAACACCAGGTTCTCTAAATGCTATCAACACAGAGAAGACTGCAGTTGCGTGTGTCTGTCTATGTTTGTGTTTGTTATGATTTTTTCCTTTGGTCTCTCAGATAGAGTCAGCAGATGCATGCCTGATCCTTGCCAATAAGTACTGCGCTGACCCGGATGCAGAAGACGCTTCCAACATCATGAGGTAACTCCTGGCATCAGGACTGTCTCGGACCATCCTCCCTTCATCACCGGCCAACAATAGCTCCTGTGTGGAGCTAGTAGAGCTAACCAGCTGTGTCCACTGCTCCAAACTGCTCGTGGAGTTCAGGTTCCTAAGAAAAGAACTAGAAAATGAATAATAGGTTCAGGTCTGAATAAAAGTGCCGTGAGCGCAGGGCTGGGGAGATGGCTCAGTTGGTGAAGTGCCTGCCTCCTGTGTAATGTAATGACGCGAGTCTAAACCCCAGAACCAATTTTAGAAACTGAAGCACACTTGAATCCTTAGTAGTCAGAGGCAACAGGTCCCTGGGATTCACCGACCCAGTTGCCTAAACCTAACTCAGTGAGTTCCAGGTCACTGAGAGACCTGTTTTAAAAAGGCAAGGTGGTCCCCATGTAAAAATACTCAATGCTAGCTGGGCGGTGGTGGTGCACGCCTTTAATCCCAGCACTCGGGAGGCAGAGGCAGGTGGATCTCTGGGAGTTCGAGGCCAGCCTGTTCTACAAGAGCTAGTTCCAGGACTGGAACCAAAAAGCTGCGGAGAAACCCTGTCTCGAAAATTTAAAAAAAAAAAAACAAAAAAAAAAAACTCAATGCTGACTTCTGCCTTCAAATGAGCTCACACCTACACCTACACACAGAGATTCATACACATAAAATCTTAAATTTCCATTTTCTAAAAAAAATTATGTTATCTGAAAGGAATTGGATCCAAGATGTCTTTACTGGGAAAGGCCTTAAAATACCTACAGGAGGTATTTTTTCAACATGTTTCAACATCTTTGCATTTGAAACAGCAAGCAGGTGGTCTTGTTGGAATCTGGTATAGCACACTCCCATCTAGAAAACTCTCTGACCCAAAATACCAATAGCTGACGCTAAGAAACCCCTAGTTAGTACTTCCCCAGCCTGTCTGCATCAGGTTATTATTGCTCTGAAAGTGATTAGTTAATTAACTTGTTTCAGTTTCCTCAGATGAGTGATTTTAATATTAGCGTGGATCTCTGAGATACTGAATTATATAGATTATGTTTTCATTCTTTATGGATTGAATTCCCCACTCCTCATGTTTGTTTGTTTATTTTTAAATAGATTATGGTATGGAGAGAAAAAATCTAGAACACTAAGAGTTAATGCCTTATCTGTCCATGGGCTAGGCCTATCAAAGGCTAATTTTTTTTTTTTTTTTGATTTTTCGAGACAGGGCTTCTCCTTAGCTTTTTTGGGTTCCTGTCCTGGAACTAGCTCTTCTAGACCAGGCTGGCCTCGAACTCACAGAGATCTGCCTCTGCCTCCCTAGTGCTGGGATTAAAGGCGTGCGCCACTACCGCCGTGCTCAAAGGCTAATTTTAACCCTACTCTAAGACCTTAACTTACTCTCATTTCAGAAAAAGAAAAGATTTCTTTAGCTGTTGTTCTTCCCACAAACTTGTCATCATATCCTGGCTGTAGAAAAATGACCAAAACATCTGAACATTTTGCTCTCCTTAGCTGCAATCCTTTTAGATTTTGTCTTTTCTCTGGTATAAACTGCAGAATAGTCACTTGAGGTAGGGGAAGATAATAAAGAAAATTTTCTAGAGAGAGCCTGGGCTAAGGAAAATGCTTCATTCCCGCTGTAGTCCCAACAACTCTCACCTAACAGTGAACAGGCATCATTTGGACCAGACATATAGCCCAAACACTAATTGCAGCTTGCTTCCCTGGGACTCAAGGATTTACCCCAAGGTGAGAGTCGGGAAGTTGCCTTTGGGTTTTTACAATGCTTGTGAATATTTTCTTTTCGTTTTAATTAGTGTTCTCCAGTTACATGTACATACAGAATTCCTCTGGTGCATTTAGGTTGATCCCGTCTTCCTGTCAGTATCTGGATCTTCTGTCTGGAGGAAACTATCTGGCATGAGCATCTTTCTTTCCAGTCCTTTTGTATTTGGCAGTAGTTTCCATTAAATGTTTTAAGGAAATTTGTGCACACATTCTAGTAAGACTTGGTTTGCCAGGCTGCCAAGAAGATGCATTGGGGACTAGCTTCACACCTGAGCCCATCTCCTTACAGGCCTCACTGGAAAGCGACCGCACACGTCAGCTTCAGTTTAGAATGTGTCCCTTGTCATTTCTGAACTAAGCAGCATTTCTACCCTCTGACAGACTTCTTTTCCTGCCATTTTAAGTGCTAAAAATATAGCTCTTCTAGGGACAAGATTCCATCTTTTTCCTTATTACAAACAAAGAAACCAGGAGCACGAAGCTTATGTTTTTGACTTCACAGAGAAGTTCCTGGCATATATACTTTTATTTTTCCTCAGTGGTGAAAAATAGAAACTTGTGGAAATTTCGAAATGGGCATTTCCCATAATTGAAATATTTTACTTGAATTTTGAGGATGAAGGGTTAATGTGAGCACACAGAGATGTCAAGGGAGAATAGTGGGATGCTGCAGTATAGAGCTCACTAAGCACAGAGGGCTTCTGGAATGTACGTAAGCCATCCACTAAGGATGATTGGGGAAAAGATCCAAACGGGAGTGGGAAAGTCAAGGTTAAATGTGGCTTCAGCTTTTCTTTTATTTGTATATTCCTCCTTAGATTAATGAGACCAATCTGCTGTTTTTGAAATTAAAATGTCAAAGAGTCATTTGAAACGAACTAATGCAGAAAGCTGGCTGGAGCCTCTCAGCTCTCAAAGGCCGACAGAGGCTGACAAATACTCCGAGTTATAAGCAGAGGTCAACTTGGCACTCCCTCGAGACTGAGAGGAAGTACTTCCGCAGAGAGCGGCTTTCTAAGGAGCCGTCTCCCCACTTCTCTGGTTGCAGTTTCTTCAGATGAAGCTGCTGTCTGATTCCTTCTCTCCAGTTTTGCAGAAAACATGGCAAAGGGAAGCGCTGAGCTGGGTGGGAAATTTGTGGGGGCGGCTGTGATAATTGAGCTTGCGTTCCTGAGGAGGCTTAGGAGGTGGCCCTTTCTCTGGAATTCCATTCTTTAGCCTTCCTTGTCACAGAAGGAAATGTACAATGTCACCCCTGACAGGGTTGGGAATGACAAAAACCATAACTTACACATGGAGAAGGGCTTTAATGATTCAAAGCATTTTAACATCTGGTCTCCCATTTGCTCCTCATACCAAGCCTGTGAAGTAAACAGAGCAGGTGAGGTTGCCCCCGGTGTCCAGATGAGAAGACAGGAACAGAGAGCCTGGGGATTTCCTCAGGGTCACCCAGTTCGTTAGCACAATGGCTGTGCTGGAAGCCAGGTGTTTCCATTCAAGGGCTCCTTCCTTATTCCCTTTGCAGTGTGATTGACAGGAGAGAGGATGTTAGGAAAACTTGGTGGGTAGGGTCATCCAGGCTCAGTAAAGGACGGAGGGCAATAAACCGTATGTTTAGGGTGCTGGTGTTTAACTTGAACCAGTGGTCAAGTCATCGTTATGCTGTGTAAGGCAGAGTCCTCCATCATATCCCAAGAGTTCTGCTTAAATATCACATTTATGCGGATGTCTAAAGGGAATGTGAAAATCAGAGCCACTTGCCAGGTGGCCTGTTTGAGTTGTCGTCATTGTCTTAGGTTGTTAACTGGACACAGAACAGAAGTTTTTACATGCAGTGTGAAGGACTGCAGACCTCCAGAACCTGTCTGTAAACATCAGAAGCTTCCATCTCCAGTCCATTCAGGTTCATAGTCTATCTTCTACGTGTCTCAGGAGTCCTTCGTGTTTGTTTTTAAGGCAGACTCTCATGTAGCCCAGGCTAGCTTTGAACTTGCTCTGTAGGCAAGTCTGGCCTTACAGTCCTGGTCACCAGCCTCCATCTATCAAGTGTACTTCACTACTCCGCCTCCTCTAATGTTTGTCATGGTCCTGGAGGGTAATGTGAGGAGAACACATTCTTTCTTTGGACACAAGCCCATGGATGGCCTTGGTTGCTGGCTTGACCAAGGTTCCCTAATGAGATGAGTCCTCCGTTCTACTCTGTGGGCTCCACAGAGCATGCTCAGTTCTGGCTTTCTCTTTTGCAGAGTGATCTCCATAAAGAACTACCACCCGAAAATCAGGATCATAACTCAGATGCTGCAGTATCATAACAAGGTACGTGGTAAGCTTCCAGGCCTGGAGCCATCCTCAGACCTTGGATGCTAGCACCTTCTCTCTCTCTCCATAGATACATACACACACATGTTCGTGTAAGGACACAGGTACCATGCCCCGAGGTCTGGCAAAGATATGCAGTAGTTAAAATGTCCCTTCTCCCTAGGACATTCCTTCAGGGTCATCAACTTATTTTTTGAGGTGGGTCAATGGGAGGAGGTGCCGTTGTCGCCTCTTAGAGTAAGTCATTCATTCAAGAAGAAGCTATTGAACACTTTGGTTCAGAACTATTGATATGTTCTTAGATCCTGTCCATACCTAAGTCCCAACAACTTGCATTTCTATGTCCTGCAGTCATTCAGTCAATATCTATTGAACAACTACTCTGTAATTAACTCTCTTCCTGCTACTTATGGGGTAGGATAGCTGTGAAGATAAAATCTGATTTTATGTTCTTAGAGACTGATCAAGGAAGGTGTAGAGAGTGTGCCAGATAACTGGTAGGATTTCTCTCTGTGTGGCCAAGTGCACTTGAAAGAACATAATACAAACTGAACAAAGAAAGCAGAACATGACATTATCCTCAAATTCGGATTGGGAATCTCCCCAGTTATACTTGGGAAAGTAGTGGTTTATCTAAAGTTTATACTTAAAGCAATGCTCCCAGTGTGGCAGCTTCTGATGGGGCCTGGTTAGAAAGAACTCAGACATTAGAGTTAGTGTTGCTGTTGTAATCACCTCTCACTGAAACAGAGCTAAAGGTCTAATCAAAGGCAGCACTCCTTCACTTGGCTTGGGGTTGAGCTCTAGACAGCTTTGGAGGAGGGAAGGTAGCATCTTGTTCTACTTGATGTGGTACCAGTTGTCTTCTTAATGGAGCTGAGAGACTGGAGGCTTCTCAGCACCTGGGGCCAGGTGTCCTGTCTGAACAGAAATAACTCCCTGCAGGGTTATGTGTGACAGCATGCACCATCTTATAGGCCATCTTCTCTACAAAACAAGTCATCAGGTGTCCCAGAGAAAACCCCATTCTGCCAAATGCCACCAGCACCGTGCTATTATTTCTTAATTGCTGGCAAGTTTTGGCCCATTTAGCTGTGTGGAGGCCCATCAGAGGCTATTGCTGAGTGGGTCCTGCTGTCAGCGACTGGCCCACTGCTTGGAATTGCTGCCCAATGCCGACCATTGCCCAGCCCTCGGCAGGTGGCTCTATTGGAAATTCTGTTACTCTCCAGCCAGTGGGTTTGTGTGGTGGGCACCGAAGGTGACACCTCTCTTTGTCTCTGAGTACTCAAGATTGCAGTAAGGGGCCTGTTGGTAACTCCCAGGCATCAACTGCTGAAGTTCTTGACAGCAGCCTCTGTAGGTGGAGGTGAATTTTGTTAGCAAGGCTATGACTGGTGACAGCTCCTGTTGCAAGGAACACTCCTTCTTTCATTTGTGATTTGAAATTTCATTTAGTGTGGGAGTGCTTTAAGCGATTGTTTAGATTTTTGGCTGAATTTAGACTGAATAGGAAAATTAATGTTGTATGTTTAGAAAGAGATGTCAGTTCCTTTTCTTCTCTTTCCAACGGGTGCTGATGTAGCATCTTCAAGAAATTAAAGAGGATTTCAGCTGTGTAGTTCTTGTCAAACTCAAAGCAACTTGATTGGCCTCAGAGCCAGATGGTACCTGGACAGTATTCACATGAGTACAGCCACCCAGAGATCTTGGACAGACTCTCCAATACAATCATTCAGACACTGTGTTGAAGACATCAACAGGCCCAGGACTGTTTGCTTAAAACCCATCTCATTTAGAACCATCCCACTCATGCTCCTTGGGTTTCTGGGTCAGGCAAAATCATTTTCAGAACACTGTTAGATTAGTAAGGATACAGTGATAGAGTAATTTTGACAAAGTACATTTTCCTCTGTTACTTCCCATCCCCCTGTTAGAATGGGCATCCTCTTGTCTTTAGGTCATTCTTAGCAGATTTTTAGTAGACAGTTTTTCACACTGCCTTGTGATTTTTGCAGTTGCTGAAGATGACCTACCCTTTTCACACACTCTTCTTCCAATATTTTCTTCTCGTGTCTTTTTCTCTGTGCTCATTTGAGATGCACGTAGAACTCCCCCCACTTATACAGGCACTTAGGAAAGACCTAATGCTTGTGTGAAAGCTATGCCACTGAGGACATATTCTGGAGGGGGTAGTGGCTCCCACAATTGGACAGCAGGCTTGAAATAAAAACAATGTCAAACCCCCGTGATGTAACGAGGGTGATCTTGTGGCGCCTAGAGGGATACAGGGAAACTGCTGGCCTTGAGTTTGTCATCATAATAATTACAGACATTTGTGTCCTGTTTTATGGGTTTAAAAGAGCTTTGACATCCGTTATCTCATTTGGTCCTCATTGGGCCATCTGTGCAGTTTAGCTGCGCAGTGTAGCTTCAGACTAGCGGGAGTCAAAACTCTGTCCTAGACAGATCACCTCTGGCCAGCACAAACCACGGTCACTCAGCAGCCGGCAAACTAGGACAGGACAGCCAACTGCCGCCTTCTATTTAAGTGGGACAGTAGCCCACAGAACCACGCTGTGGTTCTTAGGGGAAGGATGGGGCTCTACGAAATGGGTCTCTTTAGAGTGACCATGTTTTACAGGGAGAACTTTTAAAAGCTGCCCTTGTTTGAATGAAGATGAAAGAGTGTGTTGGCTGACAGTGTGGGGAAAGCTTTCCACAGACAGGATGATGACACCCTGGACAGAAGTGTCATTCCTAATAACTCACCTGGTATTGGTTGTTTTATTTTCTGAGCTTCTTGTTTCTGTCTAGGAACCAAGTCTTCAGCACAGATAGATGCCAGTTCTTTGAGCATCCCCATTGTCTCTGCTTGCATGTGGGGCGTAATTGTGTTCATCATTGCCTTCATAACTTTCCTGTGCCTATGATAGGATACTCTCACAAAAACACCTACATGAATGAGGGTTTTATTTCTGCTCACAGCTCAAGGCTCAATCCATCCTAGAGAGGAGGTCAAGCTTCCAGGAGTCTGAAGTAGCTGATTATGTCAACATCCACCATCAGGAAGTACAGAGATGAATACATGCAGTTACTCAGTTCCCTTTTTTCCACTTACATAGTTTAGGATTCCAACCAGGGAATGGTACCACCCACAGCGGGTGGGTCTTCCAACCTCAATGACAGAATGAGGATAATCCCTCACGGGCATGCCATGAGGCCTGTCTCATAGATGAGTCTAGATTCTGTCAATCATCACAGGCAGCTTCCTGTCATTCTAACAATGGGCCATGATGAGTTGACCTTGCTTTCTTAGGCTTGTGCTAAGGCAACACATCATTCGGGGAAAGACTGGTGGAAAGCAATGGGTCAATTTACTGCCATCAAATCAAAAAAGGCTGACGGGTGTCCTGTTAGCTTCTTGCTAGGCAATGACTCAAAGACCCTCTATTAATGTTTACCTCCCAAAGGTTTCACTTCCTCATGAGAGAGTAGCTCCCTGGAAATGAAGCTGTTAGCATGTGGTCCTTCAGTGGTCAGCGACTGAAGATGCAGGCTACAAATACTGCGGGTTTTCCACTAGTAGACTCTTCGCTTTCCATATTTCACAGCATCTCTCTACTGCTGAGTGTGTGGTAGGAGAAGTAAGTGTAGCTAGAATTCATTCCTCCCACCTTCCTCGGACAGCACATTTTATAGTCCTTCTCCAGGGAATGAAGGGTGTTCCAGTAGCATAAACGGGGGAAGGTATGTGATTAATGTTGGACCTGCTTTTTTTCTTTGCCAAATTAGAAGAAATTTGCCTCCAGATTCCTGTGTGGAAATGCTGCTGGGTTTTTATGTTTTGTTTTGTTTGTTCACCAGACTCAACTTCCCTCAACTGGAAGAGGATGAAGTTTCCAAAAAGAAAGAATTTTAGTTTCTGGGTCAATATCCTCTTTTGGCTTCATTCACACAGCCTTCCCTCTTGGCCATTGCCAGTTCAGCTTCACTTCCTGTCCCATGACTGGAAAAAATACAGTAGCCAAGAAAGGAGGCACTGGAAGCTGGGAACGAACATGGCTTTTACATAGAACACGAGAGACCCAAGGCTTGCATGCCAGAGCTTCATATTTTGAATGGCATAGAGATAGGACTGCAAAGTTTCAATTGTTTGAAGAAGGCATAGAGGATATGTGGTGTCTCTGTCGGGACTAGACCACCCGGATCTCTTGTCACAGACAAGTTCATCACTTGGATACCATTTATCATTCTTCTCACATGAGTATTTCTCCACATGGCTGAAGTTCTTTTGTACCATGCCAATAAAGTAAAATGAAAAAACTGATGTCATAAGCCAGGGAAGAATGGGGAGAGAAATGGGAAAGATGGTGGGGCTTTCTGTTAGCATTGTGTGGGATGTGCAGAAGACCCCGTGGTGCTCAACTCCACACAAATCCGACTCTTCTGTGGCCCACACACAGGCCTGTTTTAACCATACTTTGTTTAGGGAGCAAGCGGTTGTCTCTTCAGCAGTAACCACTGCAGGCTTGGGATTGGAGACTGTCACAGAGGTAGATTTTGCAAAAGCAGACATTTCACAAGTGTAGAGTTTCTCCAAGCAGAGTGAGAAGTCCTGGTCTCTGTTCTTTGTTTCTACAATGGGATCTTCCTTCCTTCTTTTGCAACTGGCCTCTTTCGTTCTGTAGATGAAGGGAAGGCTTGCTTTTTTTTTTTTGCTGCTTCCATTTGCTGATGCATAGGGAGATATAATTTCAGAGCTATAGAGACTTGGTGTGTACAGGGACTTAGAAGAACTCTGGGTCAACTTTCTGTACAAAACGTGATTTACTCTAGCATATTGGAAAGATGCTAAGTTTTAGGAATAAAGACTTTGTGCTTTTGTTGTTGTTGTTTAAACTAGCCATCTCCATTTATTAGTCATATTTCGTCTTTAGAAAGTTCCATTGTGAAACAAGCCAATCCCCTCTGCTTTCTTTAAGTATATGCCAGTCCAGTCCTATCCTGGCTTCTAGCATAGAGTAGAGCAAAGCTAATCTTAACATAGCAGTACCTGAGGCATCACATATGATGACTACTCTCTCTCCCTGAGGATCGTGTCCCCTGAATCTTGGAGATTATTGGCTCTTTTTACTCTTTCTCAAAAGACTTTTCGCAGAACACTCACCCTCTCTTGTCTTCATCATTTTTCTCTGGTCATTATTCAATTGATCATTTTCCCTCTTCAATTTTGACTACTAAGACTGGATCAAATCCTGTGGAATGAATGTGGCCTGTTCACATGGAATAAAAGGTTCATTTCCTTTGCTCTGGAGACTTTGGTTTTCAGTCTCATGTATCCGATGGTCTCTAGTTGAGGTTTTAGTAACCCACACACTAAAACGCTGTACCCAGCTCTCTCTTTCTCTAACACACACTCTCTCTTAGATTGCCTTCATGTTTCAAATTTATATAATGGATATTTTTGAACACAAGCGCTGTCCCTGATATTTAAGCCTTGAAACTATCTTCTGCTGTTATTGTTGTTAATCACCAAACACTAGAGAACTTCCTGAGCTTCAACTTTTTCACTCACTCTGTCATGCACGACTCTCTGCTGTGTGCCACTGGTAAAATTTAGTATGAGCATGCCTCTGGGACTCCAGGATTGGTTCTGACATAACTGCGAAATAGGACAGTCCATCTGTGAGAAACTGCAGGATGTCTGTGCTGTGATGGTTTAGGGGAATGGCTTCTGCACAGTGACCTCCAGAGAAGCAACATTACCTCCCACATATAGAGTTGGAGGTTCTCCAGCTCCACCCCAGATCTATGCAGGCAGAAACTCAGCAGGGTGGGGCCAGCAACCTGTGGTCTTGTACACATTGCAGGGCATGCAGGTACCCACTATAGTTTTGGGTGCCACTGATCTAGAATATTGAGAAGGCAGGAAAAAAATCCAAGAGTATGCAGACACATAGACATCCAGCAATCTCATACTACTTGAGAGCCGCTTTTAAAAAATGCTAACTAGACTTCTTAATAATGGGGGCTGGTGTGTCTCACAAGAGAAAAATCCTTTCTGGGTTGACTCTGGCTAAATAGCAAACTTTAGGGGAAAATGTGGACCTTGAGTGTAGAAGCAACGTTGCCAAAAGGCCATAGTCTGTTGAATAAAAGTGGAGAACCTAGCCATTGGCCTCAGACGGAGGCACATGGAAGGATGGATGAATTTGGATGACCCAGTGTCCTTGGACAGGGCAACAGTTCCCAGAAGAATTTTCAGACACTCAGACAAGGAGCAGAACAGGGTCTCATACCTCTTGTTATTCCCACAGGCCCATCTGCTCAACATCCCCAGCTGGAATTGGAAAGAGGGTGATGACGCAATATGCCTCGCAGAGCTCAAGTTGGGTTTCATAGCCCAGAGCTGTCTGGCTCAAGGCCTCTCCACAATGCTTGCCAACCTCTTCTCTATGAGGTCATTCATAAAGGTAACGTCTTGTCTTATTAGAGCACATTAGCCTAGGATTCCATTTGTCGTGGGGTTGAGTAGAGCACAGCTTAAACTCAAAACAGATCGGCGGGCTTTAACTTCTCTGCTTGAGGAGAAATTCCTTGTTACAGATTTGGGAATGAGGCCAGCTCCTTTCAAAATTATGTTTTTATTTTTATTTGGCACATCCGTGGCCATTAAATGATTGTTCAAAGCACAATCCTCTCTTTTTTTTAGATAAACCACATGTTTATCTATCAACAAAGCCTCCACTGTTAAAACAAAAATATGATTTATATACATTCCATATGGCACCAGAGTGCCTAAAGAAAAGAATTATCATTTCGCTCTTTTCTATCGAGTGGCTGGTGGACCTCTCACTGTGGGGATAAATGCAGACCATGTGTTTGTGCTGAAGCCCAAACCCCAACAACATAATTCATTTATTTACTTGTGCGCAATCAAGGAGGCCGGCAAGGCTGACATGCCATGGCTGTTTGAATGGAGAAAGAAAAGATGAGTCTTCACCCCAAGAGACGTGCAGTCTGGATGTGTTCATCTCCCTGTCAGAGCTCACTGGGCAGCCACTCCTAGTCTCCAGATGGCTGATGGGCCAACTCAGGAAGAGAGGATGAACCCACTCTATTCTCCAGGGTCTAGAGCTTTGAGTGCCTCTGAGTCTAGGTGCCTAACTAAGCAAGTTTCCGGAGTATAGGCTTCGGCAGTCAAGCTTGCGCACCACAACTGTGCATTGTGCTACTGAGAGCTGGGATGTGTCAGGCCTCCATCCTGTGTACCTATGTCATTGGCATGATTTAGCCAATAGGTAGTGCTCATAGTATGACATAAAGAATAGCTTGGCTTGGACCCACTCCCGCAATTGTAGCCGTGCTTATAATGAATAACATCTCGATTTAAAATATAACCTCTGTGTTTATTCTGTACCCCTAGACCCCAGCTCAACAGAACTTCAAGTTCAAAGCCACTTACAAATAAAGTCACCCTGTACTTCTAAGTGTCTTCTTTAATCCAGGCTGCTTTTGCCCTGCATAGATGAAACTGAGTGCAGGCAAAATGAAAATAGCAGGGAGGTCTGTGTGGCTGTGTTTCGGGAAGGGGCACCAAAGCCAGATGTAGCCATGTGTTTCCCAGGACTTGTCTGCTCCATCCAACGAGTCCAGACCTAGGTTAACAAACTGTCACCGAGAGAACTGCCCTGGCTCTTTCACTGCAGCACTGGTGGTTTTCTTCCAGCAGAGGCTTGCTCACAGGACCCGGCACGTGGTCTGAGGAACTGGGTTCTGCTTCCTTGTGTTGCTGTGACATGGGCCTTGGCAGAGCCCCACCACAGATGGGGCCACTTGACATGCGTATGTTTTGATTTTGTGGTGCCTGCATGGTAACTAGATCTGCCTGTCAAGAAAATTAATAAAATGGCTGTGACACTGATTCTTCAGTGTTATTACCAGGGGAGAGAACTTCTGCCTGACTTTCCTTGGGACTCTGACGGGCCTCACCTCTAAAGCCAAGGACGTCCCTTCCAGCTCCACTAATCCCTTTGCCAAGTTCCTATTTAGGAAGAGCCTGTGGGAAAGGCTGGACCAGGCCCTGGTATAACTGAAAACACATTTCCCTCCCAGGGTTATATTACTGCATTACTTTTGTTCAGGGCCAGCTCCCCCATGTTTGGAGGCAGCTCTCTGGATATGACCTTTTGACACAGAGGTGGTCTTTGTGTTAGAATTTGCTAAGGGCATAGTCTACAAGTAACGTGACTTCATTTCCTACATTATAAAATTCGGAGTAAGGACAGTCTCACTTAATGTATTCCCCCGTTCTTCATTGTAATCTATGTGTGCTTATCCCTGAGTCGTAGAGCCATCGTCTCTTTAGGAGCTGGCGGAAACCATGCTGTTATCCTATCCTCAGTGTGCTTTCTATATTATTACAAAGCATTTGCTTGTTTCGTCTGAGGATGAGTGCAGGTGGAGAAGGGATCTGTAAATGGATTCTTGTTTACAGAAATCACTTCCTTCCCCTACTCCCTCGTAACCTGTGGTGGAAAAGTCACCGGCACTTCCATCTGGAGGAGGCTTTGGCAGTACTTCATCCTTCGGGAACACTTAGTGTTTCTGCAAAGCCGTAGGGAGACGCCAGCTCACCTTCTCACTTGCCCTGGGCAAATGCTATCTGTTTCCTAGTTCTGCAGAATGTATTATACTTTACCTCTGAGCAAAGAAGAAAGGAAAGCAAGACTCCGACAGTGTAGATGCATCACAGGCACAGTGGCTATCATTGGGGCCCTTGATTATATGTGGGACTTAAAGTCCAAGACCCAAGCTAAAAATAGTAAGGTTTAATGGAAGAAGGAGGTGCCACTCAGATATATAATTTGGAAAAGGGACCTGAACTGGAGATGAGAAGAAATATATGGGAATAATTAATTATGCCTCTACTAGTCACTCTCAACCGAGGGCCTGCAACCCATTACCCTCTAAAACCTAGTCTTCATTTGGATATGGTACCTCTGAACTGACCTAAATATTTTGGAATTCATTGATATATTAACCTACCATTTTAGGAGTAATGAATTCTTTAACTTTGATAATTACTATAGAAATTCTGGCTTTTTTGTCTATTTCCCTCTTGATTAATTTATTCCGAACATGCTTCAATGCATTTTCCCTACTGTTCAGTGGTATTTATAAATCCACACTAACCAGACATCCGATACCTTTCAGAAAGAGGCCCAGGTTTGTATCCAGGGCTCCTATAGCTCTTTGGCTGTTTGCAGGGCAGGATAATTTTTTTTTTCCAGCAAGGAATCATTTTCACCCTTGATGTCCCTTAATCAGAGCCAGCAGATAGATGTCTTGGTGCCTGTGACTTATCTCCTGGTCGGGCCTCCTGTTTACCCCTAACCCTCTGATCTCCTTCTACTGGCTTCCCAGATTTCAGGAAGAGTCTCCTTAATGTTTTCTGGAAAGGCCAAATCAATGGACTTGTTAGGCTTGTCTGCCATCACATCAGCCCTGAATAAGTGGGCCACACTTTAAGACCATTGATTTTGGAGTTTTGTTTTTGTTTTCGTTTTTTTTTTTTTTTTTTCGTCTATGTAGTTTCCAATTCCTGTTCAGCCTACAGAGTTTCAAGTTGGGCCTTGACCTTCCATTTTTTATGAACAAAGCTATTATTTATACTAGAAAAAAAGTATTCTTGGACATGATGAATTATGCATTTGTGTGTATGGTTTCTTTATGAAATTGATTGACTCTTAAAATTGTTTCTCTTTCAACACTGAAACTTTCAATTAAGGACATTAAAATAGGTCTCACAATTGCCAGTTATTTTAATTCTGCTTATTTGTCATTTAACACACACACACACACACACACACACACACACTGTACCCTGCAGCACGGCATGGGCATGTAATCTGCAGTTTCTTTGTAAAGAAAGTGAGTTGTGAGAATGGAGAAAATTTGTTAGGTTAGTATGGTGGTTTAAAGGGGAAAATGTCCTCCGTGAGCTCAGATAGTTGAACACTTGGTCCCCAGTTGGTGATACTGTTGGGAAGGTTATAGGAGGTAGAGCCATGCTGGATGAAGTATGTTACTGGAGGCAGGCTTTGAGAGCTTGTGATTCACTCTCTCTGCTTCACACTCTCTCTCTGGTTAAAGATATGATCCTTTGGCTTCAGGCTTTGGCTGCCATGCCTGTCTCTTGTTGCCATGCCTACCTACCTATTGTTGCCATACCTCTCCATCATGGTGGACTTTCCCCTGACCAAATAAATGTTCCCTTTTGTAAGTTGTCTTGATCATGATATTCTGTCATAGCAACAGAAAAGTAACACAGTAGGGTTTTGTATTATTTTTGTTTGTTCTTGTTTTATAAGAACTGGCAATCCTGGGTGAATTGTTCTTGGTACTGAGCACAACAAAGCTTTCTCTGGTGCTCTTTCTATGCCTAAATGGGGAAGCACTGCAGGAGTCTAGTTTGTACTCCGTGGACTGTTGACTGGCTGAGGTGCTCATGACCTGACACAGAAACCATTTGTTCCTCATTGTTCTTACTGCACAGTGAGGCCAACTTTCATCAATACATAGTCCTGGCACTAAATGCAGTTAAGAAAATCATGGTTTTGTTATGTTTTTGAGACAGGATATTATTATGTTACACAAGCAGGCCTTAAGCTGTTGGGCTTAATCAATCTTCCAGCTTCATCCTAGGTATGTGCCACTATGCTCGACTAAAGTGAATCAATTTAGTATATTTAGATTGGATCATACTTGTACACAGGTGGGTATTTGTACAAGTCCATGTATAAAAATAATCTGCTTTAGGAGCTGGAAATATAAAGACCTTTGGATAATTGCCCAAATGTATGGAATTCTAACAAATTTTAAACCTTGTCCTTAATTCTTCATATTATTTTATTTTATTCCCCTAATGACCTACACAAACTTGGCACTGTAATCAGCCACTTCACTTATCCTGCCCAAGGGCAGGTAGCTTAGAATTGACAATCGCAAGAATTGATTCAAGGTTTGTCCTTGAGAATACCAAAAAGGGATTAAGGATGAGACGCTTTCTTAGCAAGTATAACCACCATACTACAAGGCCTAGTTTCTAGGCTTCTTTTTATGGCAACCATTGATTCAATAGAGTTTCCAGAAGCACATATATCCCAGCACACAGAGTACAGCAATGCGCTTATGGCTTAGAAGCACTGCTAAGATTCAGGAAGCTTCTGTTCTGATGGGGAATGGGTGGCATATGTTTACATAGCCCTATCAGTGAGTCTGGTTCACCTTTTGCTCTGGTCATTTCTGTAACGGTCAGAGTGAATGCATCAAACAGGTTAGATTAGACTATGACAATATCAAGAATGGACTAGGCTGTCAAGAGGACTTGCTTAAGGAGGTTTTCCTGGGGAAAGGCAAGTGAAAAAGGGCTCTCTGACAAAACAGAACCAATTGTGTTTGTGATGCGTAA